CAGCAGACAAAGAAATTGCTCTTTGCTTCTGCAACGGGAATATTTTTTAAAATTTTGACACAATCTGCTTTGAGAAAGCATCAAACCTTCTATGGAGTCCATCTGAAATTCAGTCTGACCGTACCCCAGTCCCTGTGCGTGCACAGGTCGAACAAAAGGAAGCTGATTTCATCTGAGGATTGGAACATAATTCTGAGAAAGAATTACTTTGTTTGGTAGACAGAAGCGTGATTAATAATTAATGCTTGCAAAAGTAGAGAAACAAACAATAAACTGTGAGCTTCTGAGTCAGTATCAGCCTGCCAGTTTGGGGAATGCAGTATTTTTGCAATTCATCTTGGATAGCCGAGGATGTTTTATACCTTTTTGTAATGTGTTTAAAGTAGCTTTGATACTGCCTGGACATCATGTGTTTTTCAACTGGCACTGTGATCCTTTTTTTTAGTTTAATTTATATTTTTTGACTCCCTTGTAAATTCCACTATGGATTAGCATGGGAATATTTTCCAGCTTCTTTTTGCATTTTGGCTTTTTTAGTCCTCAGATTATTACGGTTTGATTTTTGCCACTGAATTATTAAAGTTATCCAGGCTCTTGTGTTGATGTCTCGTTACCTCAGCTGTCCTTTTTGGGCATGACCTTTGCTGTACAACAATTGCATCCTGCAGGGGGAATAATAATCAAAAGAAATTTAGCAAAAGGAGTGAAAAAGAAAAAAAAAATACTGTTGTAATGGAATCTGACTATTCTGTGTGCTGTGAGGCATCGGGTAATAATGTCTGTCTAATATTTTGTTTAGAGAATGGCAGTGGTCTCTGCAATGTCCTGGGTCCTGTATTTGTGGATAAGTGCCTGTGCAATGCTGCTCTGTCAGGGGTCCCTCCATCACACTTTCCAGCAGCATCACCTGCACAGACCAGGTAGGACTGAGATCAGCTGTGGGATGCCGTGAGATTGCAGGTTCTCTGCCTGTGCTCGTGTCTGTCTTGATAAATGACTGAGTAATCAAAAAATTCTTTTTATCATTTAACTTTTATGAGTTGCTTGCTTTTATATTGCACAGCATCTGTTTTTTGTTTTGTTTTGGGTTGTTTTTTTTTTGTTTTGGTCAGTCTAATGTGTGTTGTGCTTTGCCAATCTGATGTTGGAATAGTCATCCTTTAATGTCATCTTTTAACAATTTCCCAGCACAGGAATCCCATTTTGGATAACTGTTCAGTTTGTGTCCTTATCTCTATCTCCCCTTCTCCTCACCTGGTGAAGTTCTGGAATGGGTGTGTAACTCAGACATTGTAACAACACAGGTTTGGATAACTTTGCAGTTATCTGACCCAAACTGGACATGGGTTTGTTCATGGAAACACTGGCACCAAATCTCACTCATGGTCACCTGTGTTTACTGGAGGTCAGATGTTTGCATAAATGAGTCACACTTATTTTAAGGTTCACAAGTTCACCTCTGAAAATTGATGGGGTTGCAAAAGTTCAGCCCAGAGGAGAATTTGGGACTGTCTTTCAATGGAGTTAAATGCCTGTAGAGCCAGAATAAATCCCACAGGTTGAGAGTGGAGAGCAGAGCTCACTTTGACTGTTGGATCTGCAGGGACAGCACATCAGTGGTTTTATTGTGTTTTTTACTAATAGAAATAGATCACATAAGTTTTTCAACTGTTAATTGCACTTTGAAGAATGTGCTATGCTAAAAATTGAGGTGTTGGCATATTCTAGCACAGTATTATCATCTGGTTAAAATTAGATGGGCCAAGAATGTCACTTCACAAATTTGGATCCAAAGAAAGGTGGGAAAGGTTTTAAGAGAGATAGAAAGGAAAGATGGAAAATGTTAACTCACAGTGATGAATCATTTAACAATGTGGCAATTAATACTTTCATGTTTTTTGATTTAATGACATCCCTTCAAAGGCGGATGGTCTTGAACCACAGGTCTTTAACAACTTTAAAACTTGAAGTTTCCCAAGTACATTTCTCGCCCAGAAGTCAGAGATATTGGCATTGTCTTGCATTCTTGTAAAAAAACATATATTGTATAGAGGAATAGAGCCCAGCTCTCAGTACCCATGTTAGAACATCAGCTTAACCAAGAGTATTGTCTTCACTAGCTGGCACTGGAAGTTTGAGAGTGAAGTTTGAGTGGTGAGGGTCTTATTTGGAACTTGCAGAGATGTATTACAATGCAATTGTCAGTAATGCTGCTGGTTATTTGAGTCTGTCCCTAGTGAAGGAAATGGGGGGAAAAACAGCCCAGCTAAACAGATATGTAAAAGGAAAATGTAATATCGTTTTAGGGAATCAGTTGAAACAAGTGACATTATGAGAAAAAATGAGAGCTGGGCACATCCAGAGCTCAGCAACATTTGCCTAAGCTTTAAAAATCACCTTTTTTATGAAGCAAGAACAGCAAGACACTGAATGCATACCAAATGTTGGGGAAATGTGAAAAATGACAAAATCTTTCACTCAGAGATGTGCTACAGATAGAGTGAAGGTTTTACAGCTGCCTCATCACCTACTTAGAAGCAGCCAAGCCTTCCCTCCTGCGAGCCTGGCTCAGGCAGCTTCTCTGCACCCTACACGAACAAGATTGATGGTGCTCTGATCCCAGGCAGCCAATTTCAGTCTCTCAAGAAATAATCCACTACACTGACAGATGAGTGGAATTTGACATGATGTTCACCTCGAATTCAGATTGTGCTGCACCTGGGAAAGTACCAGCTACTGAGTGTCCTTTAGGGAAACTGTTAGGTATTTTGGACAATTTCTGCTGTCACAACAGAAAATCAAGACAGTGGGTTTTTTTAAAAGGCCATGAATTTTCAGTCTGCCAACTGAATGTGAAAGGTTGTACATAAAAGGGATGGAAATATGTTAACTAGCAAACTGAGTGATTTTAATGTATTCAACTGCAGTCCCTGAGCACACCCTATTTTTCATATTTATAATATTAGGAATGCGTCGTTTACTTTTAGTTAGTCACTGTGTAAGTAAGATTAAAATGTTCAGCCAAATAAGAGTGAATAAAAATGGATGCAGATGAGCCAGGGTATAATTTCAGTAATTTAATATTTGGTATATGAAATTTCAACTTATTGAATCATGATAAATATAGCTGTAATCAATAGCACGCTCAGCATACCTTTTCTTTCAGTTTGTGGTCTTCCATAGATAATGAGATGATCTAAAATAAGAGAGTTTGAGCAGTTCAGCTCCATTGTGGGGCCCTTTTTGGTACAAGATAATTAAAAAGGCAGGTCTCACCCTACCTTGTGCTTCTCATACTTGATGAGTAGAAGAGTCTCACTGAGCACAGGAAGGTGCAGGTAAAAGATAAAATCCTCTTGGAGTGTATTTAGCATAATAAACTTGAACTGAACTCGGTGGATTAGCACAGTGAATATATCCATCTGGACTACTGCAGTAATCCAGTTTCGAAACTCTGGAAATCAAGGGCAATATATAAAAAGGTTAGTTTATCATCAGAGATTTCTGAGCTTGTTCTTTTTTATTTTTTTCCCTGAAACTTTAGGTGTCTGAATGGGCTGAGATAGATTTCCACACACTGTGCAATCACAAAAGCTTAAAGCCTCCTTTTAGTGTAGTATAATTTTTCACTTTTATAATTCAATACTCCTTTATTCAGTTAGATGGCTTAGCAGAAGGTATGAACCCAGAAACAAATGTGATAAACAGCTCTACATGACAGTATTTTTGATTGACTGTAGCTTTATTTTCTGTGAAACGTTGGCAGGTGGGCACAGGTAGTAAGGGCGTGGTAAATATTGCTTGCTTATAAGACGAATGATGTTATGTTATTTGTGCCAGTCCGTTAATTCTTCCTTGTCTCATTAACATGATGAATGCTGCTGTTTAGAACCCTTAAGTATTGGTGCCTTTTCCTTTTGACTGGGATGGGTGAGGAAGAGGAGACTTCAGAGTAAACTGGCAGAACACCATTGCAGTGTAATTCCCCTTGGGTGATACACGTGGCTTTCTGCAGGTTTTTTTATGGCAATATTTCATTTTCATGAAAATCATGTTAGGAAAGGGATGTGTGAAAGCATTCACAGGAAATAACTTTATGTGGAAACAAATCTCCATCTTTTTTTCTGAGCATGTCATTTCTGTGTGATTTAAGAAGAAACAGTGGTAATGAAAAGATTTCCACACTGGCTCTTAGACTCTAAGATACACAGAGTTGTAGAGCTGTTGAATTGGCCTGAGGGTTAAAGTGGACAGGTTGTGATTTGCAGAGTTATCTGAGTGCCTGTGATAGTTCATTGATCATCTGATTGACAGGATTGACCCTGCCCAGAGGTAGGAAGTAGATGCTGGCATTTGGTGAGACAGCAAGATATCAGCAAAGTGCAGGATTCAATTTTTTAAAAAACCCCACAATAAACAAACAGCACTCTTTCAATCATGAAGTTCTTAAAAAATTGTGGCTGTGTTCCATAACAAGGTGTTATATGCATCAGCTAGTGTTTAATCACAATGGACAACATGGACCATGTGTTGCTTGAAAGGACATAGGGTTCAGCTGTAAGTTCGTGCAAATGAATTAGGCACACATTAAGCCAGTCTTGTACACAGTGCAAAGATGTAAGACAGACACAAGCAGGAACATGCACCTACTGTAGCAAACATGTCAATTAAAAATAGGCCTATTCAGAGGAAGAAATCATGGAGAGAATCAAGGCTGGAATTCTATGATGCTAAACGTAAAGTGCCTTTTGTTGTGACAGTAGTTAATGATGTGGCCATTAAAAATCATCACAAGAAGTGCTTCTCTGTACTTCATCTTATAAGGTGGAAAAATGGGTCTGAAAGCAATTCTGTACGAACTAACAAGGAACATCAACCCAAGGATGCTCTGAGCATGTTTCTCAGTAGACAGAATTTTGCAGAAAGTGGAGTCTGTGGCTGTGAGCAAAAAATGTCTTAGTTCTGATCTTGGCCTTCCCACTGATTTTTATAGCCTTGGGGGAAATTGCATATTTTCACATTTCAAAAGATCTGCTGTATTCATATGCCCCATATATGTGGTTATTCAGTTTAAAGCAGGCTGGGAAGAATGTTGGTTTGGATCTAACTCCTCAGGAAAGTGTAAATAAAATGTCTTTACTCTGTAGAATAACTGAGATTTGGAAGGTGAATTCAGCAGGATTTTTGCTCTTGGTATTGGTAGAAGCAAGTGTAGTACTAGATATTTAATATGTAAAAGTTTCTATGATTACCAAGAATTGTTTCATTAATCACATGGTGTGAATGCAAACTGTTGCCTTCAGTATATGTCCAAATTGCCATGGGGCAACATAGCCAGTATCCAGCAGATCTTGTCATGGGCATCAAAGATGACAAGTGGTGTTAAATTTTTAAGCTCTAAGGTCTGATTTGGTTTTCATTTACACCAGAAATGTCCAGGGAGCACAACAGTGCCCTGGTTTGTTCCCAGTCTGAAAAACCTGCTCATAATGAGCCCTTCTAGTCATTCACTGGCTATCATCTCTCTCGTGATACCTTTGTTGTACACACCTGGCCTACATGGGCTGTTCTTGGAAATGTGCAGCTACCAACTGCTAAGTAAAGAAATCCAAGTTGGAGGTACCTGCTGTGTTCCTGGCCACATAAAAAATATGTTTGGGTGTATGTGGGCACGTATTTTGTGTGGACAGAGAACTGATGTAACAAACTCAGCACTTCAGGATGAGGTAGGCTTTCTAAGCAGCATGATAGCAATGAGCTGCCTGCTGTGCTTGTGTGATCCACTTGTTTATAGCAGCAGACTTTAACAGAAGTATCGTACCCTGTAATTTTATTTTTTGGTGTTTTTTTTTCCCCGAAAAATCAAACCTGAAAAGCAAAACCAGCGTGGCTACAGGGTGTGCTTGCAGGCAGTTAGCTG